ATTTTCGCTTATATCATTTACAAGAAAGTACTGTAAAGATGTCTTTCGAGTTGCGTTTAAAAATACGAATCGGATAAAAGTCGTTTCTTTATGTTCGGTTATGCTTACCGTCAAACGACGAATGCTGTAGTTTAATTTTTTAATCAACCAGTACAAATATGTAGAAACGTTATAGGACATGTTTTCATGGTTACTTGTTAATTGGATGTTCCGGGAAAAACTCAAAAAGTTATATAATCTAAGTTGCAATTCGGTTGTATCTTATAAACATAGCATGACAATGTCTTAAAACTAAGACATTTTTATTTCAGCAGATTATAAGGAGAGGTATTTGAACACTTCTAGCAAACATCTGGGCCTTTTGCATGTCACAGTTTTTTCACAAATACTGATGTCAGTATTAATAGTTAAAGGGTCGTTATAGGTAAGTAGACTTTAACACTGTTATAAGGCAAGTAAACATCGGCTAAATTTTAATGTTTGAATCTGTTTTAATTGATACGAAGGCACTGATAAAGACAAGGTCGGAGTGCATTCGTATGATATCGCCCATTGCTGTCTGTGAGTACTCGAAGGCGGAGGATAGTCTGCGGCGTGGGTACGCCAGGCTGTCGCGTGTAGTCAGGCCGGAGATAGTAGAACTCACAGCCAAAGGCAATACGATTTTCATAGGCTTTGCCTTCTTGGAACGTGGAAAAAGTCCGCAAAGTATGAACATTATTTAGTTTACTGGTAACTCCTCAGTAAGGGCTGTTTACGGGGATGGACCGAGTGAACCAGAAGTGTACACTGATCGATCTGATTGGTATAATTTTGATGCTTCCGATTACATTGTAATAACCATCCTCGTTATTTCATTTCATAGAATTATTTCGATAAACCAGAAGATATTCTTATGAGGGTGATCAGATCGGAATTAAGGAAAGCACTGCAAGCGTTTCTGAAGGTCCCGGGGATACCCGATGCTCTTCTTGAATTTTGTCTGGAAAAGAATGAGAGATCAACTCTTGAAATACCTTGCCGGTCGAAAGTATCTTTTCTGCATTTTTTTTTCTTTTCTAGCTTTGTATACACCTCACCATAGACGACTTCCAAATCTCGTATGATATAGGACCAGGAAATAAAGTTGCTATGAAAATTATGAACATGAATAATGTTGAGTGAGTTTTCTTGATGTTTGTTTGATTCTCTATAGGATGCCACAATTTATAAAGGCACTATCATTGACAGAGTTGAGCGATGTAGAAGTTTTCGCAAAACACCAGATTGGCAGCATGATGGATGCTGTGCACTTGACTGATGAAGTGATACAGCGCGTGCTAGTTGCCTATGCACCTGTGAAGCTTTCGGAGAAGTTTCCGTCTGCCGAGTGCTTAGGAGTGAGAAGTTCCTTCAAAAGTGAGCTTGCAGGTTCTGATCTCAGCTAGTCCTAATGAAATTCATTGTTGTGTGAACCATGCATATGTAAGGGAAAATGTAGACTTACCGTCTTGGATTAGGAGTGGTTTGTTACTGAGGCTTGGCTCATTGCTTATTCCCTTTTTCAGTTGAGTTAATGAGTGACTATGCAACTATCCGGATTTCAAGCAATAGAGCTCACGCGGACTTCCCTGTCAAAAACCTAAACGTTGAAGCGATAAAGCGACGAATTCTTTCACTTACTTCATGACTACGTAATATTTTAATTAATAAATTTTATTCATGAGAAATACACAACTTGTTGTCTTAATTGTTATTGACTAATATTCTTCTCACATATTGGTGACGCCTATTTACCGGATCTGTGAGACCACGTGCGCAAGTATTCGCTTGTAGTCATCAACTGGGGTTGCCTCTATTTGCAAAATCTGGTGGGCGTTTCGTGCGTGCAAACCTGACAAGGATTTGGTTGTTTGGCAGGGTTTACCGTCACGCGTTGGAGGCTTTATGCGGTAGTGCGGTGCAACAACATTGTGGGTTTCGGCGGGTCTGCCACACGAGATTACGGTCTTTAGCCCGTCTACCTGGGTTGAACTTGGTGTTAAGAAACTGATTGTTCCCACACTAGCGCACGCAAATTGATAGAAGGAGTGACTTCAATCAATGCGTATATCGCTTACACTCATAATGGTTGGCACTTTTTTAACTAGGCAGGGTAGCCAACTAGGCAAAAGATTGACCCGGCAGACCACTTTTGCAGCTGGTTAAACAATAGGGTGCTATCACCTTCATGAGGCGCTATTACATACGCTCTATGACGTTTCGTAGATAGCATGGAGCATATTACTCAGGAGATAAATGTATTCGACAAACGGAGAGAAATGGTTGTACTGTCGAACAAGAGATTAGACGGCCCACCGGCGGTACAGCAGAATATCAGGCTTAAGCAAGCAGCAAGACTGAACGCTATTACTTGTCAAAATCTTTGTAGGATCCCGAGACTTCTGACTTCGTAATAGAAAGCAGAAGACTTGACTGAACGCATGCGCTCTGCAAGACAGGATGGA